GAAAACAATTAATGATGTCCTTGGGAAAGTTCATAAAAAAGTAATACACTTTGATATAATTATTTGCAATGGTAAGGTTGTAAAAGACTCCCTAGGTATTGTTCACGCTTTTAATTCATATTTTGCAAATATTGGTCCGAATCTCCCTGACAACATTCCCACGCCCACTAAACATTTCTATACATTGTTAAGGAATCAAAACCCTCAATCTACGGTATATTATTTCTTCCTATTCATGAAACAGAGGTACATGTAATTGATATTGTGTCGAATATGGATTTTAAAAAAGAGCGCAGGACGGTATTTCAAATTTCTTCTTAAACAAATTTGTTCATGAAATAGTTTCCCCTTTAATATATATCATTGCTAAACGGTATCGTCCCTAGTAAAATGAAAGTGGCAAAGGTTATCCCAATTTTCAAAAAAGGAAATGAATTGGAGTTAGGAAATTATCGACCAATATCTTTGTTGACAACCTTTTCTACATTACTTGAAAAAATTGAATATACCATTATACCCATACCGTTAAGTTCCTTACTGGATATAATATTTTGACAGATCACCAGTTCGGTTTTCAACAAAAACACTCAACCATACACGCTATTTTATTATTGATTGATAAAGTAGCCAAAGCAATTGATAATAATTCACACACTGTTGGTATTTTTCTGGACTTCTCAAAGGCCTTTGACACTATCAATCACAAGATTTTACTATATAAGCATGCCTATTATGGCATTCGAGGAACGGCCTTGGAGTGGTTCAAAAATTACCTTACCAACAGAACCCAATTTGTTTCTATTAATGATTGTAGCTCAAGTATTGAATCAATAACTTGTGGGGTACCACAAGGCTCTCTTTTGGGCCCGCTTCTTTTTATCATCTATATAAATGATTTTATAAATTCATCCACGGTTCTATTGTTCCTACACTTTGCAGATGACTCAAGCATATCTGCTCACATCCCAAACCTAGAATTCTTGTTGATTCCCTAAATTTTGAATTGCTTTTTGTTGTTGAATGGATACAAGCAAACAAATTGCCCCTGAATCTGAATGAAACTAATTTCATGATTTTCAGCAATACACTATCTGAGCTACATGTACCAGGACAACTTTTGGTCAATGGCTTACCCTTAACCCAGATAAACTCCACTAAATTACTTGGTCTTTTTATTGACTGTAAACTAACATGGAATACTAAAATTGATCATTTATGCAAACTGTTGTCTAGAAACGTACATGTAGGTGTAATAAATAAGTTGAAATCTTATTTTCCATCTCATGTCAAAATATTATATTCAACTACATGTATGTTACTACATGTAGTACTACCTTATCTAAATTACGGGGTGCTAGCGTGGGGAAATTGTTCAAAAACAAAAATGAATTCAATTTTCATGATCCATAAATGAGCAATAAGAACAATAAATCTAGCAGATTTCCAGGCACACACTAAGGTTTTATTTCTTGCGAACCGTTTCCTGGAAATACCTGATACAATTATACAATTATTTCCTCTGAATTTTCATGTATCACCTAAGTAAGAATGATTTGCCCAATACCGGTACATGTATATTCCCTCCTATGTTCACTTTGAACAGCGTTATTCACTCCTATCCCACAAGACAAAGAGACAACTTCTATCTCCCCCAAATCCAGACAGTTTTTGGCCCCAAAACAATCATGTATACCGGTCCCTCTTTTTTAAATGGTTTGAAAATCTTGAAGAAAAAAAATGTCAGAATTTCCCTTGTGCTATTGTATACAATGACTTGTGGGCCGAGAAGAAATACAACACCAACCAGGAAATTTTATAAATTTTTCGGTTCATATAGGCTTACATGTACCAGCATCTTTATGCCTCCACCACAAAGTAGCTGGAGGCTATCGTTATGATAACTCGATATCGAAAATGATATATCTATTGGACCAAATGGTGAACAAAACATTATTTAAAACTGATTACTAACAAATGTAATGAAGTACAATGGATTTTTGTTTATCACAGACATTATTTTGTTTTCATAGAATTTGCAAATGTAAATCTTCGCTACCGTTTGTTTGTTTCATTTGCCACGCATATTCCGCGCAGTTATTCTTCACTTCCGGCCAGGGCTCGCCACAGGAAGTGAATTTCACTGGCAGTATGAAAGGGACAGCAGGGAAAGCGGCTGTTTCACCTTTGTTTACATATTTTTTATAGGAAAATTCTATCTATATTTTCATCGGTGTGACTCCGATAGAAGCACTATGAAAGGGGTACTAGAGTGCACATCAATCTCAGTTTCAATGGATGGATGTACCCAAGCCCCAAGGACATGCCTACCATGTAATCGTTCCAAAGTAATCCAATTTTACTGCATCCAAGAGGAAATATCTTAATCCACATTGCAACAAGAATATGTTGACAGTATACAAATATACACTGTCTAGAGAGGTTCGGGTTGAAACTATGGGCGAGAGCCTAGAGGTGACTCCAAAAGAACTAACCCTGTAAACGATCATCGGATCGGCTGCTGATACCGATCCGATCAGGGGGGATTGGATAATAATTTCCGATCGCCGATCAATAAAAATGATCGAAAAAAAATTGGCAGATTTTTTTTTTTTTTTTTTTTTTTAATGCCGAAAATTTTCAAGTTTTGGCTATCAAATTCTCAAAAAAAATTCATGGCTGCCTTTGGCTGGGATTATTTTGTCATTTAGAGTTGTTGTAGACCATGTTTGTTGAAATTTAGTGTCTTTTCATGACTTTGAAATTAATAATATTGGTCTAAGAGCAGAGGCAAAACATGCAGAGGCAAAATTTTCGTCATTAAAAAAAAAAAAAAAAAAAAAAAAAAAAAAAAAAAAAAAAAAAAAATTGGCCGATTTTGTTTGTTGATCTTCCGATCCGATACCGATCAAAGGTGCGAGGGTGTCGCTCCGATCTTCCGATCCGATCAGAGCCCCAACTTACAGGGTTAAAAAGAACTATTTGCTGAGGGGCGCAGCCCTGAAGCAAATAGTACTATCGGAGTCACAGAGGGACCATAGTTTTAATCCAGAGACTCAAATAAAAGCAGTATATATTTGTTTTACATACTTTATTCATATTCATTCATAGGATGTCAACAGAATGTTGTATTCTCATACTCAAGGTTGAAGTTCAATTTACATGTACCGTAAATCTCTGTGTATAAGGCGAACTTTTTTGCCGCCGAAAAAAATTGAAAGTCGGCCTTATATTTTTTTTAATAATTTTTAGTTTAGATTTATGGCGCTATGCCTGGCAATGTCTCCCAGCTCAGTAATCAGTGTGTTGACTCACCACTCGGAAACTACAACAACACTCAAATTTGTCTGTCATCTTGGTTTGAAAGTAATCTTTGTAATAGATCTCAATATGTAGTTTATAATAATAATAATAATTCCTCCAATTTTGTTTCTATTACACATGGTGTACCACAAGGTTCTATCCTAGGTACTCTATTGTTTTTAATTTACATTAATGATCTTACACATTCTTCTAAAAACGACATTGTTACCATTATTTGTGACAAGTTCACAAGCACAAATCGGCGCCTTCAACTGCACCTCGACGTTAAATGAAGGTCCTTCCCTGCGTGGGTTTTCGGCATCAAAACAACAACAAACAAAATAAAATTTAAAAAACTATTTTTTTTATTTTTTTTTCCCTAAAAAAAAGAGGTGCGCCTTATACACAGGTACGTCTTATACACAGAGATTTACGGTAATTTAGAACTTATCTAAAAAAAGGGGGGCTTAAAAATGTCTTTAAGTGGGAAAATAACGACTACCAGTATAAGTTGTCGATTCGACTTAAGAGCTATAGATTTAGAGCCAGTAAGTAATAGGCTGATTTTCAGATCATTGTACCAAATGGTCGTACGTTTTATGCTGCCAGAGATTCAATCAGTTAAATTTTGGCCATTACAACAAGTGGGTTATTGTGTAGACAAATGCTCATGTACCCTTTACAGCTCATTTTATACATGTTATTAGTTATTACCAAAGAAGAAAAAAAGCCAGTCAGTCACTCAGTTGTGTCTGACAGTGAAGTCTAGCAAGTAAACAGGTTTCCTTGCATAATTTGAATATTAGGACACTGCTAACGTTTAAATTTCACAGATGGGACATACATGACATATTCATCATTCCTGCAAAGTTCTGAAGAATTTGATGTTGGCTGCTAAAGAGACATAGTGGCCCGAATTCACAAAGGAGGTTTGAGCTCAGACCAAGGTTTTTGTACGTCATATGACGCGTTTTACGCATTTTTTACAAACCTGGTTTGTAAAGAACAAAAGGAGGTTTGGCGAAACAAAAGGAGGTTTGAGCTCAAACCTTGGTCTGAGCTCAAACCTTGCTTTGTGAATTCGGGCCCTTATCTTTAAGTCCAAACAGAAATCAGGCTAACAGCCATACAGGTAGTGTTGTTCTAGTTTCTGAGTGGTGAGTCAACACACCTTGTATGACTGAGCCGGGAGACATTGCTAGACACAGTGCAGATGGAGGGCATAAATCAACACTTTCAACAACAACAATTTTTTTTTTTTTTTTTTTTTGCAGGGAAAAAAGTGTGTCTTATACACAGAGATTTATGGTACGTTTTTTTACTAGCCGTAAATAGTACTTTACAAAATAGTGTGTTTATTTTTGATCATGTGACACACTTTTGACCAATCAATGAACAAGAATATGTGAATGACGTATCCTCTACTGGTGTACATTTGCTCAGCAGTCAGCTCAGTTCACAACGTTAGTCAAAAAGTCTGCAGATCAAAGTAATGCTGGAACAATTCAAATACAATTTTGGGGTTCAGACCGATTATACACTCACCCTCTTCCACTATAAATATGACAGTAGTGTATTGTCTGTTAATAGCCAGAAGGGCATTAATGCATACCAGTAGGTATATATTTTAATACAGAGCTAACGTCCTTTTGGCTCTTAGCAGACGATATGAATGGGGTTTGTGAACTACTTGTACATACCTGCAAGAATAAGGATGAGCAATGCGGTGGTGATGGCAGCTGTTCCCACAAACATATTGTGCATATTCTTTTGAACGTTTCCATCAGGAGGGACAAGGAGAGGTGGAAGAACAAAACCAAGGGCAACACCAAGCTGTAGAGCAATTAAGAAGAAAAGAAAATAACATGCATCATTAATGGTGAAAAACAAAGAAAAACATACATGTACCATCTGATTCTGAAGCATCTGAAGCACCAGTGATTACCATGGTACAGTATGTGAAGTTGCATGTGAGCTCTGTGTGTAACTAGGCGCGGTGCCAGGCTGTGATGTAAATAGCTGAAAACTAGGTGCGGTGCCAGGCTGTGATGTAAATAGCTGAATACAAGTGGACACCTGAATTTGTAAATGTCTCATTGCATGATCTCAAAATGCCAATCCCAGTACATTCACTAGTAGACATTTACTACCGGGTATATTATTTAATCTACCGGTAGTATCTTTTTTCATTTAATGCAACCCAAAATACAAAGTCCTGTGTAAAAGCAATTTGATGTACAGAATATTAAAACTGGTTGAGTAGAAACTAAACTGACATTGAGTTACAGTGCAGTGTGATCTGTGAGTTGTGACACCTGATGAACTACCAGAAAGATCACTTTCCTTTCTGGGGGGTTTTCATATAGAATACTACCGGTACGTTGTATTGCAAAGGTGAAAAAGAGTCTACACAAATTCTAAGGCAAAAGTAGCGGTCGAGAATGAGAAACACGTTATTTTTGTTTTTTGTGTCACAGCGCATATGATGACGCGCATAATAAGCTCTCCATTATTAATTACGCCCAAGATTACTATGCGCTGGGCGCATCTTCAGTTTGGAATAAAGTACTCCTATTGGTTGATCATGCTTATGAATATAAAATAGATCTTGATTGGTAGTGCCCATAAAAATGGGGGTGTCAAAGATAAGATAGAGGCGGTCGCTTCAAGAGATAACATAGGGATAAAATGATTTTCAGAACACCAACTTACAACAATATTAGCGCTATGTTATTTCTGGAAGATACAACAAAAGATAACACAAAACTTACAACAATGTTTAGAATACCGCCCCTGGACTCTTTCCATTGGTGGTATCAGATTTTCGAAATATTCCTGATTTTTGAGTCAGTGAACTAGTACGGTCATGCACGAACCTGCCAACTACTGTCAAACCACCATGCGTGGGCCCTTACTCTTACACTACAGTTACACTGATGATTTTTGACCAAAGGCCAACCAAGTACATCTAGATCTATGTAATTCTTATTTACCTGATTGCCAAATACTCCAAGGGCACATGCTGTGGAAACTTCTTTTGGACCGAACCATGTCGCTGCTACATGGGCTGGCATGCCAAGAATAAAAACTTGCCCAATGGCGCACAATGTCTGTCCAGCAAACGCTAATGGAAAGAGATTGGGCACTGCTCCAGCATATCGAAACCATGACCCAGCACAATTGAGACTCGCCCCCAAAATACCAACTACTTTCAGTCCTGCCCTTTCAAGCAACCACGTCACTGGGAAAATAAGAGGGATGTAGACAAGCATGTAGATCATAGAAAGCCAGTCTACAGATATATATTCAACATCATAGAAATCCACAAGAACGTTTCCTATCACAGAATATTGGATCCACTGGAAGGCATTGCTCATTGAGACAAGGCAAAAGAGCCCTAACATCAGCCATCGTCGCTTGTACAGCCGGGTATAACTGGCAGACGATGTACTAATGTTACGAGTTTTTATCGGATTCGGAGCTACTTTTATTACATCACCCTTTGATGTCATCATTGGTTTAATTTCGTTATTGTCACATACTGCACCATCGTTTAGTTTTGTATACGTCACCGAATCATCATCGAATACCACGGTCTCCAAAGTAGCCGTTGATTCCACCAACATCATCTTGCCTTTCGAATTTTCCTCTTCATCAACCACATTCTCCGCATTCATCGTATGGTACGCCATGTTGCTACCCGGATCTCGGGCGCTGCCTCCACTCCGACCATCGGCATCGATATGTGCAGCGTCAATCCCCGTACCCGTTCCTTCTCCCATTTCGTCTCGCTCTGCTGACTCTTTTCAATCATCAAATTATACCAGTTGCGGTATGGCCTATAACAAGATAGACTGCTTCTGAAGTTATTAATACGGTTAGGCTTATCCCTACAGCCACTGACACACAAATATGTAAACCTCAAATTGAAAAAACGAAAGCTACATGTAGGCGCAGATATTCCTCAAGCATTATTCTTAATGATCAAGAATAATGTGTGCAAAAGGCATACGGTACCGTATATGTCTAGATGATCGTGCATCGATCACAATGCCCGACCGCTCTAGACGCCGGGCGCGTTATTTTTTTATGCGGCACAGATTGGGGCTTTTTTTAAAAAGGGGTCTTGATTTACAGACTAATATTGGTCGTGTGCGTACCCGACAAAATAGTAGAGGTCTTTTTTTAATAGTGTTACATGTAATCCACTACCGCATGGAAAATCATTACATCAACAATTAAAATCAAATTCGAAATCTGAAGAGGAGGCAGCACGTCAATAAGGAGAACATCACAATAATTAGTCAATAAAACTTAACTAACTTAAACGAAGAGGAATGTTATCTAAACACATAGTTCGCGATGGATATAAAAACTTCTTCGCAGCGCTATTAATGCGCTAGCGAACATGACTAGTCTCACGTACGTGCAGACACTATTCAGAAGGGAAAGAACGTACTTCCCATAGGTTTAACACGCGCCATGCCCCAATCTGTGCCGCATAAAAAAATAACGCATCCCGGGCCCCCGACTTATTAACACTGGTACTGATACCACTGAGAACGGTGGCTTGCGCGAACACAGGGGGAGTCAACCTAGCTGGGAAGGAAACCAATATTCATTTGCACAGATGTAAAGGTCGCATAGCTCCATATAACAAATTGACCGTCTGGCATGTTCTAAGTGGTGGGTGTGGCCAGGGGGGCACCCCCCACCAAAAAAGGGGCCCTTTTGATGACAAAATAGCATTTTGTGAATAATTTTTTAAGGAAACCATGAACCACCATGATCTAGGTGTCATATGAAAGAGAGTTAAATTATCTACATTTTGATACCAATTTTAAAGAATTTGGGATTAATTAACATCGCAAATTTAAGTAAAAAACATGATTTTTGTGATATTTTTCGAAAAATTGAATTTTATCAAAAAACATCATTTTCCATATATCAAAATCGAAGAATTGCATTTTTTCATAACTTTCCAGGAATTTGCTTATGTACATCGAAAATATCCTGTGCGAAGGAAAGGTCTATATATTGTTTCAATAAAAAGTTATAGCAATCCAAAGTTATTGATTTGATTTTCACAAAAACAACATTTTTGCCCACATGTGTATTAACTGTATGCATATAGTTACGTGCATTAGTGTATTAAGGACCTGTTTGGTGTGTTTACATTGAGTTTTAAAGATAACTTTGAACTAAAACCTCTAATCACCATGTATTTGGTGTCAAAAGATGGATAATTAAAATACCTTCATTCTGATATCAATTTCAATGAGTGATGTAGTGTTTGAAATATAAATTTTGAGCCAAAAAGGTGTATTATTGTAGATATTCCTCTGATTTTGGCCAGTATATCATTACCTGGACAAAAGTGATTAAACATTAAAGTAGTGCAGAAAGTTCAAAGGATTTGGAGCGTTGAGTGCAATTGATAAGTTCTTATTCTATTCTCTGGGATGTTTCAGGAAATGTGGACATTGGCAGTTGCCCCCCCCCCCCCCCCCCCCCCCACCTCCACCCCGCCCCCTTCCAGTCGCTTGTCATAATCTTGCCCATGTATGCCCAGGACAAGTTAGTGCATCTATCAACATGAATATAATATAATATCGCCATATTTGGTTTAATGGTTTATTTTGCCTGACTACTAAGAAAACACGTGTATGCTTGTAAAGCAACCAATACTCCATATAATTCCTATTGTGATTAGATTAGAACGACATAAACTTTTCTCATAAAATAGTTTCGGCTAGGTATGCAAAGTTATTTTTCTCTCGATTACAAGTAATTTGGTACAAAAATCGAAGGAACATTATGAAACTACTTGATTCGATTGAATCTCAGTTTAAGTCCTTGTGTGTTTCAAATAGGAAGTTCCACAACTACAATTGAGATCAATTTGAAATCTTTTCTGCTTATAGCCATGAATAATTTAAAATCGTTACTAACTCCTTGAACTTCTAAGGATCTCACGATTTGAAGATTGGAAAATGTCATTAGGTATCAGCTTATAATTTTGATAATACATCACCGTCTTCATTAGAGTTCTATCATGCCCGTTGCATAAATCATATGGTCTTTTTGAACATGTTCCTGAAATGACATGATTTTCTGTGATTTTTTCTCATATTTGGGGGTTAATTGTATTTTTGTAGCCTATGCCTTTGTTGGAAAATGGAAAAGTCTCCCAAATTTACAGTTAGGCAAACAAATATGCAAGAAGCCTTCATGTCAGGGCCTGCAAAACGGTAGGGCTCGAGCCCCCCCCCCCCCCTCACTTTTTTGAAAAAGTATGTTAAAGAGAAAAAGAAAGAAAGAGAGAAAGAAAGAATGAGTGACCTGCCAGTGTCACAAATGAGGTATAAAAATATGCTCTTCTGACCGTAATTTAATACCTAAAACCCCTGAGCTTCCGGGGTCTCCGCACCCCGGACCTCACCAAGGGCCTTAAGACGAGTCCCTGAATGCTGATCTGACCATAATTAAATGCCTTAAAAGCTGAGTTTCATGGGACAGATCCCCACCCCCCCCCCCCCCCCCCCCACTCAGTGTTATTTAAGGTACGCGTATGCTTGTTCCCTCTTTTTGAAAGCACCCCCTATTTGAGGACTGCCAACATTTCCGAACCCCCTTTTCGCGGGCTTTTTGCGGGCTTTTCCTGTCTTGGAGACCCCCCTAAATACGGGAAAATGCTCAATGTACCCCCCTAAATTTGGAATATTTTCTCAGGAGTCCAAAGAGATGAGAGAAAAAAAAGAAAAAACACCCCCTTTTAAAGAAATCTCCGGGTGAAAAGTCAAATACACCCCCTTTTTTTACAATAATTCTCGGGCCGGACTTTGTCGCACTAAAAGTACCCCTTTACCGGACATTTTGGTAACACGCATGCGGTGATTCCGACCCCGGAGTTGGGGGGGGAGGCGGGGACACAGCCCCTGGACCCTACTTCAATTAGTGACCTGCCAGTGTCACAAATAAGGTATCTAAATATGCTTATCTGACCGTAATTTAATGCCTAAAACCCCTTCCATCGCCCCAGTTTCTCCGGTGCGCAATGAAAGCAACTCATTTTATGTGGAAGCGCAGCATACATAATGGTACAATGTCGATCGCGCATAGGGAAAAACATTAAAAATATTCTTATCACTTCTCATTCAATAACTATTTCTAGCTGGATCATTTTCAAACTTTTGTGAGTTGTTTGGTGTTGCTGTGTTATGTCAATGAATTACCTATTAGGTGAAAAAATAATTCTCTTTATTTGTTATGATTTTTTAAGGCTATTTTTCTGACCAATCATTTTTCAGACTACCTAATTATGAGGAAAGAATTGTTAATTTTTTTTAATTAAGCAATTCACTGACAAAGTGACAAGAACAGTCATTCAACAAGCTAAAGACCAATTAAGTTTGGACTCGATCTACCATTGCATACTCCCAAAATCCCGAACTACTTTTGATAAAACAACGGAAAATAAAAAGCTCTCTATTTTACATACATACACATGTTGCCGACAATCTGAAGAAAATCTTCAAAATGGCGTAATTTCTTAATTTTTTAATCATTTTTTAAAAGTAAATATCAATCTAAAGATCTCTTCCTGCTCCTCAAGAATCACTCAATGTAAAGCTGTTTGCTGCCATCTGTAGATGAGGGCTTGTACTAAATTCATTTCTCCACTGAGCTGAGTCGATATTTTCAGTCTTTCTACACACAATTTTGTTTTCGCTGACTAATGGGACGAAAAGGTCCAAAATACGTCAAAAAGAGGAATGGTTTTCATGGAACAAGATGGGCTGACTTGAAAAGAGCCAGGATTGATGAAGATATTATATAAATGTATTTGCTTATTTATGATTCATTGTCAGAAAGATACTTATTGTAGTTTATTATAGGCCAGGGATATATCCCTGCCTATACAGTGCGTCCCAGAAAAAACGAAACCGAGATTCATCGATGCTTTATCATAACTTAATCACTATTATAATTGATAAATGACACATAATTATTTGTAAAGCTTAGATCCTCTTCTTTCATCTGATGCAACTCATATAATGCATATTCCACGCATGAGTGATTAAAATCAATTTGAAGAGAGGAAACCAAAAAGTCATTTGGCGGACGGTATTTGAATTTCAAAAAGAAAAATCACATAATTTTTTTAGAAAGTTGAGTTTCTGCCCTTTGATATGTCACCTCAGTCATGAAAAATGAGCTAGGAATAACAAAGTTCTGTTTGTTAAAAGTAGTGCTTGCATTTCTATTTGATTTTCGAGAGAGAAAATATGGATGATGTGGGAAGCATTCTTAAAAAGTGGGGGCTAGGTCAGCTAGCCTCGATCTTCCAGTGTAAGAACATTTTACTCAAAGTATTGTGAATCTTCCAAATAATACAGGATGACCCCACAAAAGCTGTTATCGAGAATGCAAAATCTTCAGTGTCTTCCTAAAATGATGGATTTATTGATTATTTGCTTTAACACTGGACAATAAAGAATCAACAATCAATCGATCAACAATTATTTGGGTAACTGAAGCTTTCTGGGTGTCCGATGCCCCCCCCCCTTTTTTTTTCTCTCTCGGAGGGGGGGGGGGGGGGTTCAGCTTGTATTAAAAGAGTAACACTACTTTATTTAACTAAGTAGAGTGTATTTTGTACCACCTTTCGTAAAATTGAGGAATGAGGTAATTATCAGAGGTGAAAAGGGGCACTTATGGGAATGAAAAAGGGGCACTAATGATAAAGGGAAATGTCCATTAGTTTGTTAGAAAAAGGGGCACCGATGAGATTTCAATAGGGAAATTTATTGGAGGTGAAAGGGGCTTTTATGAGAAGGGGGAAGTGACTCATATAAAAGAAAAAGGGGCACTTGTGAGAATGAAAAGGAACTATTTTCATAGATAAAAAGGGGCATTTATGAGAAGGGAAAGGGGCTCTATTTAAATGGGGGCACTTATCATAAGGAAAAGGGACACTTATTAAAAAGGAAAGGGGGCACAAGTTAAAATATAAGGTGCGCTTATCTGAGTTAAAAAGTGGTAGTT